TTTTTTTTCCTGTTGTCTAATTTTAGAGCCTGTGTGAACTGTGGCCATAGTGTCCTGATCATAGCTGACAGTAGTGGCACCTTGTGTGGTCTTTGGCTTCTGTAGCCCATTTACTTCAAGGTTTGACATGTTGTACAATCAGATATATTCCTCCTTATTCTGGACTTTCTCTGCTGAACTCTGGCATCAACAAGGTATTTTAATCCAGAGAACTGGTTGTATGGGAAAATCCCAGCAGATCAACAGTTTGTAAAAGACTAGGCCGTTTAGTACCAATCACCATAACACCTTCAGAGTCCCCTAAATCACATTCCTTCACCATTTTAATGTTTGGTTTGAACTTCACCAGGTCATCTTGACCTTGAGTTGAGTTGCTGCCATGTGATTGGCTGATTAGATAATTGTGCTAGCAAGGAGTTGATCAGATATATCTAATGAAGAGGCTATTGAGTGTAATTCATAATACGGTGTAGAAAGTATTGTGAGTACTATGAATATTTCATTCTTTCACGATCAAAATCAAATTAGATTTTTTTTTACACAAAAAAATCTAATTTGAATTCTCATTTATTGAGCTTGTATTCATTAAGTGTAGATCTAAGACCCTTTCACCTGGTTCTCTTTTTAAAATGAGACAGTTTCATAACAACTAGTAAGCTGTGAAAGAGAGAAGTAGAACTGAGAAGCCCAGTTTAGTTTACTTGAGAAAGACATTGTTTGAAAGACTATACCCCATTTCATGTGACTTTGGAGGACTAGTAACTACACCTGAAACTAGGCGAGGCTTAGCTAAAGGTGATTTTTGCGCATTTACAGTCTTTACAAGCATTGTACACATCTTAAATTACACAGTGTTCTTGATGTTAAATGCTACAGGTAGTGCCTAGTTTTTGAAGATATGATCAAGTTCTTAAAAACAGCAGCAGGTAAACAAATTAACAGCGCAGTTGGTGTCTCTCCAGTGGGATTCAATAAGCAACAGTATGCACACACACATACACACACACCTGATGGGGAGCCCTGTTTACCGCGAAGCTCTAGCTGTGTGCCGTTGTTCTTTACCGAGTGTGTCTTGGCTCCCTGCTGCTTTTCCAGCTCCCCTGCAGAGAGCAGAAACCAAAAATGATCATCCTCATAATCACCATGACAGAGAGAGAAAGGAAGTTGATAGATTGGTGGATGATGATGGGTAAGAGCAACAAAATTAACCAGGAACATTTCATCCTTCAAAAGCGAGCACACACACACACACACTCATGCACATTTCTCCTGTTGCCTCTCCCACCCACTCTCTTCTCCATTCTCAACACACACCTCTTCATCTCGCTAATTAAACTTCACACTTGATGGTAATTGCATGTCATTTCCAATCATCATGACTAAATGTTGTTTTGTTTCCAACACAACACTGCATTCTAATTTTGATGCTGAGCCACAAAACTGCCAGGTGAGACTTTGAGGGTGCGGTACAACATGTCCGCATTCTGAGACTAAGAGATAAACGGAAAGGGGGGAAAAAAAGTAAGCTCAAGTTCCATCGATAGAAAACTAAAAATATAAATAACAGTCTTTATTTTCATTGTACTGAATCAGTAATTTACTTGGATGTTTCTTGTAAAGTCACATGTGCAATACAACATCTACCATGACTGATGAAAAATCCAACAGGGTTTGAAATGTAGTTGTACTTTCAATAAAATTATTATAGTGGCTATAATTATGTTTTTTTTCCATTACTAAACATTATTAAAACACTATGGCTCATTACCAAAGCATTATGATTTTAATATGCACTTTTCCATATTAAAGAGGGAAACTGTCCATAATGTAAAGTTGGATTAACACGCAGGACTATTCCCTGTTATTAATGTCAGTGATTTGTGTAACTTTAGTTAAACCCTGGAAAGACCCGTCTCAGTATTGACTGTACAGCAGTTGGACCAACCAAACTTAAGCTCAGCTGTTTTAGGCGAATGCATGCCTGGCATAACAACATCTTAACAGTGCCTAGCAGCATGCATTGAGAAGATACTATAGTTAACAATCTCTCACTGTCTTTAATAATAATTTGCTGTTAGCCAAACAGCTGGTAATAGTTTTGCTGCTTTTGCCAATCTGCTTTAAGGGGGGTGTTGTGCATTCAGAAATGCTCTTTTGCATACCTTGGTTGTAACAAGTTACTGTTGCCTCTCCTCTGACCTCTGTCATCTTCACCACATCTGCATATATTAAGTTGCCACTTGTTTGGCTTGATATATATCTGTGTACCTAAGATGTACCGAAGGTGGCTGGTGAGTATAAGTAAGAAAAAGCTAAAACTAAAAAAAAAAAAAAAAAGAAGAAGAAATTTTGAGTATGCTAAAGTACCTGCTGCCATTTGAGTTGTCAGCAGTTAATGGGATGTAACAGGAGGATGATTTATGATGAACCATCAGATAATAAGAATTTTTTTTCTGGATGTTGCAAAAGTATTGGGAGCTTAATGTAAGTACCTCTAGCTAGATAAAGAGACAGTGAAAAGATATCAGGGACATTTTATTTTTAAAGGCCACAGCAGTAGGCATAAATTGAACTACTCAGGGAGCCTCAGGATAATGAATTATATATAAAAACTGTCATGTTTTATAAGCCTTGAAAGTCAGCTTTAATATTTTTTAAGGTTTTATTTTGACAGTCAAGTATAATTTGGCTAAAATTATTGGAAAGGTAAAAAAACATGCAGAGTATGAATCGGACTATTGGAAAAGTGTTCAAATGTCATTTTTATTATGAAGTGAATTTCATTTTGAAAGTCCAGAACATGTAAATTCATTTTGTTTATATAATAGTGGTCATAACAGGAACCACTAATGAAGCCGCTACCTTTTATTATCCCAGTTAAACAGTTTTAATATGTGTAAGCTTGTATTTTGAAGAATACCTTCTGATTAGTCTTCTTTTAAAGATGAAACAAAGTGTAGACCGTGTGTATCCATCACCAAGTCTGTTTGAAAGCGACAACTAAAAACATCTGATGAAACGCCAGTTTAATATTTGAGCTTTTGTTTTGAAAGTCCTGAAAATCCAGTGGTATTTACAAGCCCTGATAAGCAGTTTTTCATTTGAAAGTCTAGCAAAATTCCTGTAAAACCTGTCAGTCAACAAGACTTTGAATAAAATTGATCTTACAGTGAACGACAGTTGTGCTGAATTGCATCAAAGCGTCAATAAAAACCGGACACACCAATCCCCACTGGATTAGCCATGATGAGTTTTAAATTGAGAGAAAAGGTGACACCAGTCACCAGTTGCTATGGTGACTAAAGCTTGTAAAAAGAACAGGAGGTGTGAGCCTACTGTCCAAACAAGTGAGAGAAACATTGGAAGTGGGTCTCGAAGAAAAGTTACAAGTGATATTGGAAGAATTGATTCATCACGAGTGCCAGAGACTTCCCAAGTATAAAATACAAAAGTTTCACATTTGTATTGTGAAATTCCAAAACCTGTTTTATATTTATTGGCTATAAGCAAGTTGGTGGGAAAAGGCTGGGCTTTAATGGCATTTGTGAATGTAAGTATTTTCTAGGCGATATCTCTACACTGTTCTGTTTTAAATCTAATTCTTTATGAAACTTAAATTGCTCCTGTGGAAAGAAATCCAAAGCCTTGTAATCCAAAAAAACTTTGAATTATGAATATGGAAATCTATATGACAACTTGTTATCAAAAGCCAGAGCCCACTATTCTCACTGGAGCTGTGGATCTTGGTATAACTTCTGTGGGAGGTTCTCAAAGTTGAAGGATGTCAAAATTTTAGGTGGAATAATAATAGCAATAATAATAAGAAGAAGATAAAATCTGACAGCTAATTAATAGTGAGCTTTAATGCCACTCAGTAAGAATAATAATGAGAAGAAGAATAAGCAGCAAAAATCTGAAGAATAATAAGCCTGCATGCTTAATGCTGTTGCACTGCTCAGTCAGTGTAACTATTAGGTCGGGCTTAAAATTCTGTGTACAGTAATTTGGTTTAAACTGTGGCGAAACTAAGAAATTCTGTGGTGGCAAAGAATTACGACAATATTTAATTTACCTTTATTAAAAACAGCAGCGAGAGGGGAAAGAAATTCAAAGAGGGAAACTCGAAACAGAAGTGAGCTTGCCGCAAGCCTGTTTACTAATCTGCTGACAAAATCAAGCTCCTTGGAGGAAAACGATGGAAAGTTTGTCTGTTCAGGTGACAGCTCTTTCTTGTTTTCAAAATGTTTATCTATCACCACCTGAGAAAAAAGTTTACCTTTGCAAATATAATAAATGTGTCCCAACATGCACTCTCTTATGTTTTAGCACAAGTTATTCCAGCCTTTACACAGCTCCAAGAGAAAAATAATTTCCTTCTGTCAACACCTGCCTATCTCCGTATGTTGTTGCCTGCTCCCCCCCTGGCTGCAGGGCCTCCCGCTCTATCGAGGGTAAGGCAACTGCATCAAAACCCAGCAGGGATCCTCTCTTTGAAGCCCACTGGCAGGAGCTAGGCTGCGGACACACTTAGGTTGTCCATGTGTTGCAGTGACTCATTGTCTAGAGAATTTCAGGCGCGCACAAGTCCGAGCAAGTCAGATGCCTGGCTGCTTTGAGGAGCCCTGACCTATTTTCACCTCCGTATCATTGCCCCCCTGCAGTGTGCTTGAGCTGCAGTGCATCAGAAG